CAAACTCGTAGCTTGCATGTTCCCAGTATCATAACTTATCAACAGGATACGTTTGTTTAGTCTAGCCTGAACGAATCAAAATCTTCATGAAACCGATAAGATTCAAAAATGATAAATTAAATTCAACACTTACTCTGTTGAAAACACCGAAACACCGGGTGACCTGTTACACACGTCACAATTCATTTACGACGACCAGCGGCGGCCTGCGTAATTTTTTTCAGGGGATGATTTACGACACTATTAATAGAAGATCAGAAGAAGATCAGTGGTGATTACAGATCAACATTCTCAAGTATAGTGCCTGATGAATCTCCAACGGAAATTTTATTCTTAATTTTTTTTTCACATAACTTCAAGAAATACTATCCTTCAAAAACGTTACCAAACATATGTACAAATTTTCGAACAGTCCAAATACAAATGAGTATTGGCAACTAGGTATGATCCATTTCCACAGAACTATTCGAAATACACTGCTAACGGTATCTATGCGGATTCTTTGAGTTTTTTTTTATTTTTCCGTGAGTTTCTTTGGTGATGATATTTGTTTCACTTCATTCTATGGTGTGATCAACAGATGATTCTAGAATATGTTTCGCTAACCCCGATCCTGCAATCTGTCTACTTCTTATATATTCACGATGCTTATTTATTCTCACCTCTAGGGGTCTTGAGGTTTCACCTATATAACTTTTTTCACATACCTAGTTGTCATTACTAAGAAGGGGGGTTGAAAGCGAAAATACGAACCTAAACTAAACTGAGGTTTTAAAAAACATCGAGTATGCGTGTTTATGTAGATTGGCCCGTGTGATATCTGGACATTCCATTCTTTTGACTTGTGTCAAAAGAAATTAGGAATATCACAGTTTGAGGCGAGGTTTTTCTAGTGAATACATATTTTGAAATCGGAAAAGGATTGTTTTCATAAACGTTAAACACTTACGAAAATTAAGTATCAATATTAAATTTTTTCAATTGATTTTTATTTTCAATTTGTAGGTAAAATTATGAATACGATAAGTTACTGACCAACTGGACTTTCCAGTAGTTTACATTATGCAGTAACTTTGAGTCCCCCACAAAAAATGTCGTTTAAAGAATATATAGATTGCTCTCTTTGAAAAACACAACTTTTGTAAATCACACATTTATTGAACACTCTGTATATTGAACACGTGTTGAGGTTTTGTAAATTGTTTGGTGAAAAATACCGGTGTGAAAAATTTAAATTATATAACTTTCAAATATGTTCAATATAAATGAATACATTGTGTCTTCATTATGGCTTGATCAAAAATTATCTCTAATTGATTACAACCGATTGCTTCTCTCGGATGAACGATAAAAATCGGTGGAAACCTGTTAATAGCGGAAAAAGAGAAAGGAAATTACATCGTTAAATTGGCGCAACTTCCAGTCTGTCAAATAATATACAATTTTATCCTCGTTACCCGTTCCTATTTGAAAACAGTAATTTGAAACGTAAATTTCGAACAACATTTTGTCCTACCTAATTCTTTAACAGTGCGAGTTCAACCCAATGTTCATTTTTGGTTTTAGTGATGATATTTGGCTATTATTTGTTTCTAGAATCAAAAAAAAAATCTTACACATATCATCGGTGGTCCAAATGACGAATTCTTATTGTTGGGAAGTTGAGGATTTATTCATATTGGCCGATTTGTTTGTCTAATTTTGAATTTTTCAATAGACGTGGAGCAGATTTTTTTTCTGCAGCTACAGTAGTTGAACCAGGATAGAATTAATCAGCATAAAAATATTCATTGTCAAAATATGAAAAGAACGATCTTATACTCGTATGGTGATGTTCAGCAGATCTCATGACTATAAAAATGAGAAGAAGAGCGGAACAAACAACGGAAAAAGCAGAACAGAAAGAGTGAACAAGGGTGAACGAAACAATAAGAGGAAGTGCATAAACAAATTAAAGAAGTGAAAGGGACCATCACATGCAACGTTGAAGGAAATGATAATATATACCCTTTCTCAGTTTTGAACTGAAATTTGTGAAAAAAATATGTTTTCAGTTGAACCTACGTAATCTTCATATGTATTGTCGTTGTTTCCTCCCAGCTGCTATGAATATAAACAAATTATTTTCCTTGATGGGATCATCGTGAAACAACTCTGTTTTTTCATCAATATTTCTCTTCATCTTCGTTTCTTGTATATTGACTCGATACATAAGATTGTGGGAAACTTCCAAAATCTGTCTGTTTGATAAAACCTTTTTTTCCGTTAACCATTTGTGAAAAACAGGAAAGAAAAAAGCAAATAGGCTGAAAATAAACTCGTTACAAAGATGTATTGACCGTGCATAAGAAGCTCTTTCGAAACTTGTTTCACATGAACAACGAATTTCACAAAGGAAAAAATATTTTCGAAATAACTAGTTCCACATGAACTTTGAATTTCACAAAAATCGATTTTTCCTATTCAGTTTATACTTCAAACATTTGTTACGGAATTAAATTGCATATCATCCATAGCAACGCTACACAATGTAACATATGAAAGAGTAACGTATTAAATTTCAATTACATGGCATCCCCAATGGCGGACTTCGGAGATTCGGAATGAGACACTTGGTTCATCAGAACAGTTCCGGATAATAAAACAAGTCGAAAGACTCATTTCATTGGGAATTTTACTTTATGTTACTGATGAGATAAATTACTCATGTCACGATGAGTGATTGTGTATACATTCATACGCTCATTTGACTGGTTTCAGTAATAGGAAAGTTATTTGAATCGAAAGGGTACTTTTAAGGATAGTTCAGTTTTTTGGAGAGCATCTTTTTTTGCGAAACTTTCAAACGAAGGATGTTCAAAATAAACTGTTCACCAAGAACTGTGGATCAAAAAAACCCTTTCATGTTACAAAAAATATTTTCCCGACAACCTTGATATTTTCATTTCAACTCACAATAATTTATTTTTCATTGCAGATAATCATTCTTATGCTTTCACATTTCATACTCTTTATTCATGTATTGTTTTACATTTTTTCATTATTATTGCCATTTTTCGAAATATCCAAAAGTTCTGGTCTGTTTTTTTTGACAAAACACAANAGGAACCTCCGCCTATGATTTTATGAGTTTTACGACCGTTTTATGACTTGGGCCCTCATTTTGTGCTATCGACAAATTATGAACGGACTATAGTTCCACATGAACTTTGAATTTCACAAAAATCGATTTTTCCTATTCAGCTTATACTTCAAACATTTGATACGGAATTAAATTGCATATCATCCATAGCAATGCTACACAATGGTACATATGAAAGAGTAACGTATTAAATTTCACTTACATGGCATCCCCAATGGCGGACTTCGGAGTTTCGGAATGAGACACTTGGTTCATCAGAACAGTTCCGGATAATAAAACAAGTCGAAAGACTCATTTCATTGGGAATTTTACTTTATGTTTCTGATGAGATAAATTACTCATGTCTCGATGACTGATTGTGTATATATTCATACGCTCATTTGAGTGATCCACAGTTCACCAAGAACTGTGGATCAGTTCATGTTACAAAAAATATTTTCCCGACAACCTTGATATTTTCATTTCAACTCACAATAATTTATTTTTCATTGCAGATAATCATTCTTATGCTTTCACATTTCATACTCTTTATTCATGTATTGTTTTACATTTTTTCATTATTATTGCCATTTTTCGAAATATCCAAAAGTTCTGGTCTGTTTTTTTTGACAAAACACAAATACTACAGGAAAATCCTCAAGGCGCTCTGAGAGCGGTGCCTGTGCCAAAGTAGGGATTCACGTTGGATTGGAATCGTTTATACCTTGATATTTTCATTTTAACTCACAATAGTTTATTTTTCATTGCAGATAATCGTTCTTATACTTTCACATTTCATACTTTTTATTTAGGTTTTACATTTTTTCATTATTATTTCTATTTTTCAAACTATCCAAAAGTTCAGGTCTTAGTTTTTTTTGACAAATCACAAGTCCTACAGGAAAATTCTCAAGGCATTCTGAGATCGGTGCCTGTGCGAAAGTAGGGATTCGCGTTGGATTTGAATCGCTGGAAAAACGTTCTCTGGAAGTTTATCCCACATAAACGTAGTTCTCCAAATGAAACAGTTCTCAAACAGTATTTTTAATTTTTCTCCATTGATATAATACGTCTCGTATACTCTGTATAAATCCCCAAACACTTGCGGTTCACTTTATTTAACCTCACTTTTCACTTTCTGAAGAAGAAATAATGAAGTTTCGAAAGCTTGAAAAGAAAAGCAGAGTTCTGTTTTTTTATTTGAAGGGATTAGATGCAAGAATTAAAAAAAATTAGGATGAATTGTCATGATGATTCAGTCAAAATTGAGAGGTATGTGACAATTTCCCCAATATAACAGTTTATTCCTTCAGGCTGTTTTCGCGTACCTAGAGACGTGGAAATTCAAAATTTCATTCCACACAGATCAATTTTTTCACTTGACTTTGATCGAAATTAAAATTTGATATGATAAAAAAATGCTTTCAAATTTTCCTTGTAGAATATGGTGTACTTCTGTACATTCAAGAAAAACATCCAGAAACATTCTCTAGGTATAAGTATATTTTGATTATTTCGATGCATATCGTCAAATGACTGGATGTGCTGAAATTTGAATGGTTTTCCGTCTTGCAAAAATATAGAATCTCTGGAGCATCACAGGAAATGATAATAATATCAATACGATTCTATTGCATCAACAAATGTTGAAATTATTTTTTAAGGGTAGTGGTACACATGCTAAAGTAAACAATGCCTTCTTTAATGAGTATTATAGTACATTAAATTGTTCCAATCACAACTTCATCAATCTGAAGTTTCGAAGAATATATCTCCGTTCAAACTTCTTGAAACTGATCGAAAAGTTATGAGTTATATAAGAAACTGCAAAGTATTCCGATATTAGATCAAGTAATAACTCATGAAAATAATAAAGTACCTGCTTTTTTCGTTCTCACGATACTCTGGCTGAAACTTTCTGAAAACCAAACCCACACACGAACAAACAATGAGGTCACTGTTATTCGACAACTGTTCAATGTTAGACACGAAATGTGACCACATGCTGTCTGTTTGGTGTAGATATATGTCTATGGACTTATCCGCCTTTGAGATTTTTCCAAAATACGTCATTCCTCGTCTAGAACATCAAACTCACGATTATTTGTAAGCTTGAGATAATCGGTAGGTGTGGCTTCAGGACCGGAATCGAAATCATAAGGACTCTTCTAATGGAATCAATCGTTTTTTATTAACTGAAGGAAACGGTGGCTATATTATTGTGCTCTGGATATGAAAGAAAGGCTTTTAATAATTTTATCCATTTTAACCTACTGACGAATCGTTTCAACAAACTTTTATGAAATTTGTCAACACCAATATCATTATGTGCCTATAGTTGGTATTGAGAATTTATTTAATCATCACTTATTTATTGTTATTCATTTTCTTTCATTTTTACTCACCAGTTTGTAGATAATCCAATATATTTATTCCATTTTATTTTATTTATTTCTAGTTTCTTATAACATATGTATACAATAATTAATAATATCTATTAAACTGCAAATGAGGCAGTACCAGAAGAGTACTGTTGATCTTAGTTCTAGTCTTGAAGAAGAAAAAACTGAACTAGAGAAAAAAAAGAAAAAAAGAGGAGAGAGAGAGAGAGAGGAAAGAGAAAGAGAAAGCATGTTGATTGTTCATACTGAAAGTTTTTCAAAAGTTAGAAATCTATAAAATAAATGACATTCCGATTGAACAGTGATGAAACACTTGAATAAGAAAAATTTACTAACATTATATTTTTGTGGAATATTCTTATACAAACTATATATGTTATAACTATGGATCGTCGATATGAAGGGGAATATGATGGGGCGGAGGGGAAAGTAACCCCTAAACCTCACTGTTTTTGCTCTTAATACATACGAACGAAATATAAGATTTTTATAATTGATTGATATGGATCGATATAATTAAGAATTTGAGATAAATTCAGTCAAAATTATACACTGGATCACACTATTGAATGTAGAGAAATTCTAAAAAGTAAATAAAATATAATTTCAAATCCATGTAACAAAAAATTATTACATTCAAAGAAACATTGATGAATTTGAAATTCTCAATAGTGATGTATCACTTATCGCCTCCTCAATTGTGCTTTATTATAAATTAATCATCTACCTTGTACCTCTATATGAATTATCCAATAAAGCTCGTTATTATTATAATAATATGAAAAATGGTGCTAGAAAGTAACTATTCAATCGCAAAACTGTCTTCAAATGCCTTATTGATTCATTTATAAATAAAAGAATTGCGAATGGAAAAATTGCACCACAGTCCAACTCTGTTGTTCATTGTATGCAGAACAGATGATGCCTTATCTACACTTCCGAAAACTTGGGATGAATTTCCTATGATGAATGTTTCGGCTGAGCGTAAAGTTCATGCTCATTCACTTAATGTCAATAACATGAGTAATATCTAGAATATAGAGGAATAACTTACTTGGCGCGTCACCAATATTGTTGTGAGTGCACTTCAATTCGGGAAGTGGAAATCCAATCTGAAAAATAAATTAATGTCACCATGTGTTTTCGATTAGGCAAATTAGTCAGATTGTGGAACAAGTATTTTCAATTTGGAGTTATTAAAAGATTAGAGAACATCAAGGTTTTTAAAGTAATTAATTTTGTCATTCAAAACAACGATAAGACTGACATCCATAATTGCATTGGTATTTCCAATCCATATGACGTTATTGGACGGTAATCCTGTGTGAGTGTTTAAAATCAACTGATAATTTTTTATCAATTTAGTCCATTTTCAATTGTTGAAAATCATTATTGATTTTGGTGGCTGGTTCAGTTAATAATTTCAACAGAAATGATCCTGGAAAAATCCCTCAAATTCGTAAACTCATTATATTAATCATGTTTCGATAAAGACAGTTATTTATGTATTGGAATGTAGGCTCTATGTGCGTAGAAGCGAAAAAGAGGAACACCAGTGGAGATCAACCAACCCTTCCATACATAGAAGGTGTCACCAACCGAATCGGAAACATTCTAAAGTAGTAGAAAACCAATACAGTCTTCAAACCAACAAAGAAAACGTCGGGTGTCTGAGATCAGCAAAAGGCAGCAGAGATCAAAGATAAACTCAAATCAGCGGGAGTTTACAGGATTCCATGTAACTGTATAGTGAAGTTTATATTGGTCAGACAAAAAGAAGCATTGGTACCCGCCTAGCACAAGTTTTGGTTGATTTCTGGGTTTTGCCGTGGTCTCCTTTGGTAATAATCTCCAAACATTTCAACTGCAACTGCGGTAGTCATCTTCAGTGGCGTATCAGTTGATACGTCAAGAAGAGTACTTCGACGGCGCCACTGAAGATGACTGCCGCAGTTGCAGTTAAAACGTTTGGAGATTGTAACCAAAGAAGACAACGGCATAAACCGGAAACCAACCAAAACCAGTCAAAATATTTTTGAGATAGAATGACTGGTTGTATGACATGTTGACGACCATTCGTTGATGTTTTTTGGTTTCTTATCTTTTAAAATTTGAAGAATAAATAAATATAGGTCAACAGAATATCTACTCGAGTATAACAAAGAACAAAGTGAGAAGAGCCCAATTAGTCAGTAACTTGGGAATTCCTAAATTTTGCGTAAAGGTGATTGAAAAAAATGATTTTTCAGAAAAAATCAAAGCCTATAAAGTAACGATTGAATACGCCTCTTTCTAAAATATGTATATTTTTTCGACAAATGTCAAAATTTGTGTGCAGGTGATTGACAATGTTTCATCATGAATTTCATTAGTTTGGACTTCCATTGTCTAATATTATATAAAAAAAGTTTATTTTCTACTCAACAATTACTAACACTTCCAAAATACAAATCATGGAATTATAAAACAACAACAAAAACTAATTGGCGCTCCGGGGCGCCTTGATTCCAGTGGCGCATTTGCTTTTTCAGCTGCAGGAAAACCCGGAAAAACCTGCAGCACCACATCATCTGAAGATCTTGATCTAACAATGTCCTCTCTCTCATAAAACANACCATATCATCTGAAGATCTTGATCTGCCAATGTCCTCTCTTTCATAAAACAAAATTTAAGGTGTCTCCAGAGGGTGTCTCCAATAAATTCAATGCATCACCAGAACACTTAGTGACACGACTATCATCAAACTTTCGTCTTTGACCATGGCGTAATAATGACCAGATTCAACGCCAGAATCATAGTAAACAATGACTGCATGAATATTATAACAGTGGTCTGCTAAATTGAAGTGTTTATCTATTTCGAACCTTCGTAAGAGTTTGGTGCTTCCATCAGAGTTTGAGTCATGTTAGTTAAGACACGCCCGAAGAAGCCATTGTATGGCAAAACACGTATTGCATTTTTGTTGAATTGTTTAGTGAAAATCACACAATAAAGTGTTTTTTGAATACGTGAGGTATGGATTTTCATTAAGTATCGGCCAATTCCATCATATATGTCAAAATGATATGAAAAACAACGTTTAAATAATTCAGTTTTGAACTTAGTCAACATCGGTGTCTCAGATGTTGTTAGTATATTGTTTTTATTGTGAAATTTCCGCATTAATAATTTTTTTGCACTACACAAATAGTGGGAAATTTCACATTTCATAGTAAGTAAATTTTATATGGTATTCACAAATTTCAACCTCAAATTGGCATTGGCAATGTTTTGCGTACTATGATATACGAGATGTCAGATATTGGAGTTGGAATGCAGGATATGAAATAGAATGTATTGACGGAATAATTAGTAAAGTGCTGGCGAATAATATCAAATAGATCCAAAAGAGTAACATTCAAGTGAATTTCAGAAATCTTTGCAGAAGCAGTTACTCGTTTTGTCTTCATTACTTTGGCGACTCATTTTAGATGCACAAATTGATGGGGCATGTGTAAAGATCTACTGATGGTACTATAGGTACTGGTTTGGAGATATTTTTATTGTAATACTATACCGGCTGATTCACGGTGAATGACACATTAGCACAGATTAGACGTTTCTGGTGAACCAGACAACGGATCACTTTCAAAATTCAGTGAAAAGCATATTCAGATATTCTCTACCCAACCAAAATATTTTCGACAATGCTGTGTTGCCACTTCCATTAGAGAGAATTTTCAACTAAGATTTTTCAAATGGAACACCCTGTATATAACATCATTTTTGTAGTCTGCAACAATCACCCTACAATTTTTTTTCTTTATACCTATCTGTTACCGTTATCGAAATATGAATTAATTTTGATTTTTGTCTTCGGAAATTATGACCTCAGTCACTTTTTCAAGAAAAAACTGTATTTTTTCAACACCCTGTATTGAAGTAATAAAGAATAAGCTGAAGTGTGGGAAGCCTTTAAGTATCACCTAACTCCAAACCAAATTTTGGTACCTTAGTATTCCTTTACCCAAACATATCGGCATTTTAGTGGTCATGCTTTCCGAAGAAAAAAAATTAAATTAACTCAAATTTCGAAAACGGTAACAGTTAGGTATGAGAAAATATCGAGAAGTTGTCGGGTAATTGTTGTAGATTCCAAAAATAGTATTATATACAGGGTGTTGAAAGGTGTTGAAAAGTCAAAGTTGCTACTACTTTGCTTGGTTTGGTGATCCAAAATATTTTCAAAGGCGATTTTTTCTATTGGTTGGGAAAGCTATCAAGAATTTTCGTAAATAAACAATTTAGTTTTATGTAAACGTTTCGGCCTTTATTAAATCCATCATCAGGGCTCAAACATTAGTTATCCATTTCATTTTAAACGTTTTTTGACACGTATAACTGATGTTTGAGCCCTGATGGTGGATTTAATAAAGTCCGAAACGTTGGCATAAAACTAAATTATTTATATACGAACATTTTCGATCCCTTTCACAACCAATAGAAAAAACCGTTGCTACTACTTTCTAATGGAAGTGGAAACAGGGCATTGCCGAAAATATTTTAGTTGGGTAGAGAATGTCCAAATATGCTCTCCATTGAATTTTCATCCGGTATATGGTT